ATTGGAAATCAGAGATTAGAGCAATGGAACGTTTGGGGCGGGCATTTCTAGCGCTGCTTCTGTTTGTTTGTTTGTTCTCTGGCAGCTGGGCACACACGCCGGGTCATCGCACCAGGTATGAACCCGATTGGGCGAGCTTGGATCAGCGCCCACTGCCCAGGTGGTACGATGAGGCGAAGGTGGGCATATTCCTCCATTACGGCGTCTATTCTGTGCCGAGCTTCGGCTCCGAGTGGTTCTGGCACTACTGGATAAGTGAGTGCCTGACAAAAAATTGAAACCGTGTATATATATGCATATATAAATGTTCTGTCTAGATCAACGCAAACCGGACTACATACGTTTCATGCAGCGCAATTATAAGCCCGATTTCACCTATCAGCAATTCGCGGATCAGTTCACAGCGGAGCTCTTCAATGCCACGCAGTGGGCGTTGCTCTTCAAAGATAGTGGCGCCAAGTAAGCTAGCTCTGTTAGTAGTTCCAGACCTATTCAGTTATAGTAATGCTTCTTTCCATATTTGATCAGATATGTTGTGCTCACCAGCAAACATCACGATGGATACACGCTGTGGCCTTCCAAGTACAGTTTCGGCTGGAACTCTGTCGATGTGGGCCCTAAACGGGATATAATCAGTGAGTGATTATTGACTATTGATTAATATGTATCTGATATTTATTAAATATAATATTTCATATTTCTATAAATTTGGTTTGCAATCTTTTAAATAGAAAGAACTTAACTAAATTAAAGTTTCAATGAAAATTCCCAATATCTGCACCGTTTCACAGAGGAACTGGCGTCAGCTGTGCGCAGCGTTTCTGACCTGAAATTCGGACTGTACTACTCGCTTTACGAGTGGGTGAATCGAATGTGGATCGATGATAAGGCGCATCAACTACTGCAGCAGCACTACGTGGACTACAAGGTTCGGCCGGAGCAGATGGAGTTAGTACAGCAGTACTTGCCGGAGATCCTATGGTCAGATGGGGATCAGGAAGCGCCGGCCAAGTACTGGCGATCGGAGGAGTTTATCGCATGGCTATACAACGACAGCCCCGTTCGAGAGACGATTGTGACGAACGATCGCTGGGGCTTCGGCACCGCCTGTATGCATGGCGACTTCTACAACTGCGCCGATCGCTTCAATCCGGGCGTGCTGCAGCGTCACAAGTGGGAGAACGCCTTCACTCTGGATCGCACCAGCTGGGGACAGCGCTTCGATGTGACCTTAGCGGACTTTATGAGCTCCAAAGATGTCATCAAGGGTATGGCGAGAAGGAGTACCTCAATGAACTTTCCCTTAAGAGTATATTTATTATAGAAATCGTCACAACGGTCAGCTGCAACGGAAACGTCTTGATCAATGTGGGCCCCACGAAGTATGGCACGATCTTGCCTATCTTCGAGGAGCGTCTGCGAGACATGGGGCGCTGGCTGAGCATCAATGGCGAGGGCATCTATGGCAGCTCTCCATGGATCTATCAGAATGATACACTAACGCCAGATGTTTGGTATACCCA